ACGTTGGAAAAGCCTTAATCGATCTTGGTTAAAGCATTAATCTCATTCTGCTCTCAGTCATACAAAGAATTGGTGATTTGGATATGAAGAATACAAGGATGACTTTGCAACTGGCGGATAAATCAGTCACAAAGCCATCCGGTATAGCCAAACACGTGCTAGTCAAGGTAGATAAATTCCTATTTCCAATTGATTTAATTTTTATTGATATATAGGAAGATAATGATGTGCTATTGATCTTGGGGTGTCATTTCATGAAAACCACATGCATGATGATTGATATTGACGATGGTTTAATGAAAGTACGCATTCAAGATGAAGAAGTCAGCTTTAACCTCTTCGACACAATGAAACATTCCAAGGACAAGGGAGATTGTTTTAGAGTTGATACAATTGATGAGGAAATTCTGAAAGTACAAAAGTAAGCATTCTTGACAACACCATTAGAAATAGACCTCATGGATGTCTTTGAAATTCTTGATCCGGAGGAAGAAAATGAACTCAATTAATGCTTAGAAGATCTGGATTCAGCAAAAGAAATACCATTCAAAGAAGCAAAAATTGAGGAATTGAAAGAAGAATCCATGGAGAATAGCACCACATTGGAATTGAAGTTATTATTGGATTACTTGAAATACGTGTTCCTCAATGAAAATTGCACGAAACCACAGATAATCAACAAATTCCTGACCAACCATGAAGAAAGGAAGCTCATTTAAGTTCTTAAGAGAAATTAAAGCACAATCAGTTGGGTATTATCAGATTTAAAGGGAATCAACCTATCGTATTGTATGAACAAAATCATGATGGAAGAGAATTTCAAACCAATTGCCCAACCACATCGGCATTTAAATCCAACGATGAAAGTAGTTGTACAAAAAGCGGTCGTCAAGCTACTAGAGGCAGGTATGATTTATCCAATTTCATATAGTGCTTGGGTAAGTCCTATACAGGTAGTACCAAAGAAAAATGGTATGACGGTGATAACAAATGAGAAAAATGAGTTGATTCCAACCCGGACCGTAACCGGATGACATATGTGCATTTATTATTGAAGACTCAATCAAGAAACAAGGAAAGACCATTTTCCGCTTTCCTTCATGGATCAAATGTTGGAAAGATTATTCGGGAAACAATTCTATTGTTTCTTAGATGGATAATCCATATACAACCAAATCACTATAAATCTCGAAGATGGTGAAAAAACTTCCTTCACTTGTTCATTTGGTATATTCGCATATCAAAGAATGCCTTTCTATTTATGCAACATACTCGCAACATTTCAAAGATGTATGCAAGCCATTTTTTTAGATTTGATTGAAAAATGCATCGAAGTATTCATGGACGCCTTCTCCGTGTTTGGTGAATCGTTTAAATTATGCTTGAATAACTTGGACACCATACTGAAACGGTGTGTGGAGACGAATCTTGTATTACATTGGGAAAATGCAATTTCATGGTGACCTAAGGCATTGCTCTTGGGCGTAAGATTTCAGCCAAAGCAATTGAAGTGGATAAATCTAAGGTTGATGTCATTAAAAAGTTTCCGCTACCAACCAATGTCAAGGGTATCCGAAGCTTCCTTGGCCATGATGGGTTTTATCAATGTTTCATCAAGGTCATTTATTTTGATAAATATTGTTTAATTACTTTTGAAAGTCTAAAAGAAAAATTAAGTATTGCACGCGTAATCACTGCACTCGATTGAAAAATTAACTTTGAACTCATGTGCGATGCAATTGATTATGCGGTCGGAGTACTTTTAGGACAGAGTAAAACCAAAGTTTTTCATGCTATACACTATGATAGAAAAGTGCTAAATGATGCACAAGTTAACTATGCAACCACGGAAAAAGAATTACTTGCTATAATGTATGCATTGGAAAAGTTTCGGTTATATCTCATAGGGTCCAAGATTATCTGTTATATTGACCATGCAGCAATCAAGTACTTGATTAATAAGGCAGATTCAAAACCAAGGATAATCCGATGGATGCTTCTCTTATAAGAATTCGATTTAGAGATCCGCAATAAGAAAGGAATTGAAAATTTAGTTGCAGATCATCTATCAAGGTTGGTAATCCTGAAATTACAAAGGAATAAAGAGAAGTCCTTGAAGAATTTCCTAATGAAAAAGTGCTCATGCTTGAGGAAAGGCCATGGTTTTCGGATCTTGCAAATTACAAGGCATCCGAACTTATTCCGAAATATCTCAATTGGCAACAAAATAAGAAATTTTTGCGTGATGCCACTCATTACGTATGGGATAATCCGTATTTGTTTAAAATCAAAGCCAATGGATTATTTAGAAGGTGTGTTACTAGAGAGGAAGCAAGAAGCATCACATGGCATTTCCATAATTCACCATATGCCGGTCACTATAGTGGAGAACGAACAACCGCCAAAGTATTACTAGTAGGATTTTATTGGCCTACTCTATTTAAAAATACTTACGAACATGCCAAAAAAATTTGATAATTGTCAAAGGGATGGTGGAATTTCCAAGAGGAATGAAATGTCGTTACAAAGCATGCTCGAAGTGGAAGTATTTGATTGTTGGGGGATCAATTTTGTTTGACCATTCCCGTCTTCTTTCACCAATGAATATATCTTGGTGGCGGTTGATTACTTATCCAAGTGGGTGGAAGTTATAGCATCACCAGAAGCGAATAGCAAAACGGTGGTGAATTCTTAAAACAAAACATCTTCACAAGGTTTGGAACACCAATAATATTGATTAGTGATGGAGGCTCCCAATTTTGTAACACACAACTTGTGAGATATCTTAAACATTATGATGTCAAGAATAAGGTAGCATCACCATATTATCTCCAAACAAATGGACAAGCGGAAGTATCTAATCGTGAGGTAAAAATAATCTTGGAAAAAACTGTTTCAACCTCACAAAAAGATTGGTCATTAAAGCTTGATGAAGCTCTTTGGGAATATTGTACAACATACAAAGCCACAACATGCCTTACTCCATTTCAAATGTTATATGGTAAAGCTTTCCATTTACAAATCGAACTAGAACACGAAGCCTTTTGGGCATTAAAATCTCTCAATTTTGATTCACAACTAGCCGGCGCAAAAAGAAATCTACAAATACATGAGCTTGATAAATTTCGATTGCAAGCATATGAATCTTCCAAATTATAGAAGGAAAAGGTGAAAAGATACCGTGATAGTAGAATCTTTTCCAAAGACTTCAAAGTGTGGAAAATGATTCTACTTTTCAATTTGTGGTTAAGATTGTTTCCCGGAAAGCTTAAATCAAAGTGGTTCGGGTCATTCCAAATAAAAGATGTCAAGCCTTATGGAGCTACTGAACTGGAAGATCCAAACACCAATGCAACTTGGATGGTTAATAGCCAAAGACTGAAGTTGTACTTGGGTGGTGAGATTGATCGAGTCACCACCATAATTTCGTTGCACGAAACATATAAGTGGTAAAATGTCAAGATAATGACTTTAAATGAGTGCTCTTCGGGAGGTAACCCGAATTTGTAAGTACTTTTAATGTATTTATGTTAGGAGGCATTAAAGGTTCATGGTGCAGCAGGTTGGCAATTCTACATAATTCTGGTATTACAGAGTTCGCTAACCTAACTTAGTTCTCGAAGCGAACGTCAAAATCCCAAAAAGTTTTCTTAGCGAACTTATCTCACGAAGAGAGTGTGCGATGGTCAAACATATCTTTATGATTATTAAAAGCACCACCTACTAACATGCCACACCTTTATGTCACAGTTATAACCCTTTCACTATTTTTCTCTATTCTCTCTCTCTCTCTCTCTCTCTCTCTCTCTATTTCTCTCTCTCTAACCCTAAAATAAATCTTCACTTATCCCACTTTTCACTTCACACTTTTACTCTTTCACTTTATTCACCTTTGCATACAACTCTAATCTCTTCTCCATCTCCAATATTTGCAGCAAACAACAAGTGTGTGATATCTCTAACTATTATCATCTTCTTCTTATATATGCTATGTTCTCATTCTTTATTTCAAGTTAGATATGTCACTTCTCTCTCTCTCTCTCTCTCTCTCATTTTTATCTACTGAGATTCTAATGTTTAAAAACCAGTTTATTGTGTATCCATGGTTAAAACTAGGTTAACTTTCATATTCTTTAGCATACTTTATGTTGGTTAAACCATCATATTTATGATATGCACTTAATTTGAAATATACTGAATGAACAAATATCGGTACATCAATGTTTAGTTTAACAAAAAGGGGAAAAGAACCAGGAAACAAAACTCTGTTAAACTTATTTTTCCAGAAATCACAGAGTTTGCTACGCGAACTTTAGTTTGCTAAGCGAACTTATCCTGATACAAAAAAATAAATGTCTTAATAGATCAGTTTATGGTGTCTTATGTTGCAGGTATGGATCCAAAAAGAAATATGGCTTCAAAGAAACAGAAAACCTCAGGGGTTGGCACTTCAAGGGACCAACAACCCTTTGACCATACAAAATTCATTAAACTGGAACAAGAGGATAGGTATCAGAAACTTATTGGAAGATCCATCTGGTATGAAAGAATCTTTGAAATCAATTCTGAAGGAACCTATAGGTCCTTACCTGCTATGTGGACCAGCCGCAAATGGGATAAGCTTGTGAAACCTCGCCACAAAATCAACACGGAGGTGCTTCGAGAATTTTATGCCAACGCCTTTCCCTCAGAAAGAACTGCCTTCTCTTTCTTAACCTAGGTTGGGGGATGAACGATTCACAAGGATACGATTAATAAATTTTTGGGAACTTCTATCTTGCAAGAGGGGAAGATCTTCTATTATCAAGAATCCATTAATAAGACATTTGATGAGAAAAATAATCTCTAAGAAAATTATTTTGAAAGGTAAGGAAGTGGAGAGGAATCCATATGGTGTAGCAGTTAGATGTCATAGGGAGGATTTAATCCTGGAAGCTTAAGTTCTCCTCTTACTCATTTTGCATAATATCTGACTACAAAGCCATACTTCCACCTTCATTATGGATACGAATCAGCTTTTGTATCTGCTCATGTCAGGCCAGCAAGTTGATATAGGTCAAATCATTGCTAATGAAATAAGAAATGTTGCAGAAAGCGGTAAGGAGTTTGGGGCAGGAGTCAGATCTACTCATCCTCTTGTTTATCCCAGTCTCATCATGGGATTTCTAATTGGTGCTCGAGTAAGAGTTCCTAATGTGGTACCATTTGAAATCAAAACCAAGGTTAATGACATATATGTGGAGAGGTATTTCTTAGAGAAGAAAAAGAAAAGAAGGTAAGAAGAGAAAGCGTGGCAGACTTCTTCCAACACTCTGAACTATGCTGATTAGGATCTGAGACTTTGTCAAGCTTTCACCTATACTTGGGATTAAAATGATTCCAATCATAGAGCTGTTTTTTATTTACATGATTCTTTTTACATGTTACACATTCATCCAGGAGGGCAGCCCGATGAAAGCCATCATTTCATGACTTTAGAGGAATTTAAGACGCATATTTCCTGACCTGGGGACATGCCATTTTATCAAGGGGAGGCAGCTGGCCATGGAGAGGAGGATGAACATGCTGGCCATGAGGATGAAAAAGGAACATCGGGAGGATCCAAAATGGCGTCTGAAGCCGGTGATGATGAAGGCATGGGAGGAGAGTGAAAAAAAGGAGACAATGTTGAATGCTCGCCATTAAATGAGTGATATTTTTAAAAGATTTCAGCATAGTTTATTTTGCATTTAGTAATTTCCTGTTAATGATTTTAGTTCAGTTTTTAATATTTTGTTTAGAATTTAGGTTCAGTTTTTTTAGTTGTAATCCTTTTGACGGTATTAATATCGTAACATCACTTAGTACTTGATTATTTTAACGTTTGGTATACTGAGTTTATGTTGATAAACCTGTTGCATATTTGTGCTTGCAATGCACTTACTTTTCTCATCAAGGTTTAAAAAGCGTTCAAAGAGAAGAAAAAATTTTGTTTTCAGCAAATTCACGAAAACATGAGTGGTAATGATAAACTTTGGCACAAAATGCACAAGGAAAAGGTACATGTTTTTAAAAGCTTTGTAGAATGATAGCATGATTTTGAAATAATGGTTTATGAAAAATTATTTCATGCTTCAATTTTACAAACATGTATTATCTTGCTTGAATCATATAGCCGATAAACAAGAAAAGTGAGAAGTCTTCCATCATGCGCAAAAAGAAATGATTACGGATAACTTTGATTGAAACTCGGTTGATTCATGTGGAATCTAACGATTACCTTGCGAACTTTTTGTGGAGCATCAAATCAAGGCTATTACAATTGAGAAAAATCACTTAACCAAAAAGCCTCAAAACCAGTGATTTGAGTGAACTTTTGAAAAACCAATCCAAATCCAAGAAAATCACTTGAAATAGAAGAAAACCAGCCTTCTGGAAATTTACGAATGAACCAAAGAGTACTTGAAAAACAAGTCACAAAGCTCATGAAAAATTGGTTTCAAAGCAAAACAAAAAGAAAAAAAATAAAATGCTTGAAAAAGAAGAAAGAAAAAGAAAAAGTTGGGGAGAGACTATTGATCACAAAAGAAATAAAGAATAAAAAATAAACATGTAGTCTCTCCAAATGCTTAAAACCAAAGAAAGAAGGATAATTCAAAAGAGAATTATTGACAAATCCAAAGTATCATTAGCCTTAGGAACAAAAATTCACAAAATATAGCCAAATAGCCTTGAAGACTTAAGCTCACAAAGGGATTTAAAAAGGAAATCATCAAGATGGAAACATGAATTAATCAAGATGTTGACAAGATTATTCATGAGAGTTCAATGTACCATCATAAAAATTTTCAAAAGAAAATCTTCATCATTTTTATGAAGAATGAGTGATAGGATGATTCAAAGAGAAGAGATATGGTTTGCTTTCTTTATTGCATAAAATGATCTTTACATGGAAAAAATTATTGCATAATCATGCTTTGATTCTATCAAAGTGAAAAAAATAACAAAAACCATTTGCAAAGAGCATATTCCATTTGAACTATTTCATCTGTAGAATTAATTGGAAATGGAACATTATGATTAAAAAGAAATTCTTTGGTCTTAATTGAGGAAAAACAAGAAAAAAAGTTGGGAAGAATTTGATAAATGCCCAGAAGTGATAAAAATTCACTCATGAAAAAGAGCATTTATCGAATTTACGGAACACTTATTCATAAGAATTATGTAACTTTGAAAAACAATTGATACATCTATTAAATTGTGTTTAATTATGTAAGAAAATATCAAAGGATGGGAAAACAATACAAATATCATGTCCTATTTTGCTCCAGCGAGATTGCAGCGAAAACAAAGTTCGCTAAGCGAACTTAGTTCGAGAAGCGACTCAACCCAGAAATCCAACAACCAAGTTTTTTTGCAGCGAAGAGAAGTGAACAGTAGAGAATTCCTGATTCGCTAAGCGAGCCATATTCTACTTAAGTGAACCCAATATAGAAGCAAAATGTCCCTGTTCGCCAGGAGCAAAGAGTAGTGAGAAAGTTCGCTTAGAGAAGTGAAGGTTCACTTAGCAAACATTAGTTATTTTATGGAAGATTTTCAAAAGGCTTAAGGTTGAAGAAATAAACTTTTCTAAGTGAGCATACCTCTCTTAGCGAACATTTGGAAGTCTCCTGAAGGAGGTTTAAAATTCAAACTTAACACAAAAGAAACAGAGGATTTGCTAAGTGAAGTATAGTTCGCTTAGCAAACACAGGCGGCCAGAAACACTATAAAAAGGACCAAGTGCAACGTAAAAGTGATATCTCAGTTTTTAGAAAATACAATTTGTAATAGTTATCACATTTCATCCAGTAATGTTGTAATAGATACTTAGTGAAGGGAATCAAAGAATCAAGCTGGATACGCATCAAAGATCGAGGAATCTTCATTGATGCTCATTCATCTCCAAATCTTCCTTTTGTACAAGTTACCATAAATATGAATAATTAAACTCCCTTTCTTGATAGGGATTAGAATACTCTACCAAAATCATATGTATATTTACCGATTATATTTTAATATAAGCATGTTTTATGAATATCGATTTCGTCTTGTTATTATTGTTAAACCATATGAACTTAAATGTTAATGAGAATTACGTTTGAAATCAGGAATCAAAGATAATGAATCACTTAAACACTAATCACTAGACATAGAATTAGGTTTAAGATCCACGTTGAATACTTGAATTTAATAATGTCGGATTGTTTAATCAGTCGAGACATCATCATTTAAACAAACCGAGGGAAATTTTGAAACTTTTATGTAGATATACATGATTATTGGAACATTACACACTAGAATGGTAGAGGAAAACCAATCCCTGCAACATCACTCTTTATATTAAAACTCCGTTTATGTTACTTCGTTTACGTTACTTCATTTAATTTACATTTCAATACTATTCTCAAATAAATTTTGTTAAAAACCTTAAACTTGAAAAGATATCAGTAATCGGATCGTTGGTAATATCGCTCTAGTCTCTGTGGATACGATAACAAAATACTTTCTTTTGATAAACTACAACATCATCTATTTTACTTGTTTTAATGATGGAGTCAAATACAAATATGAAGATGATATTGTTGAATGGTTTTAATTAAAATGTATTAAAGGGAAAGATGAAATACTTACTATTTGTGAAGAAATTGCATTTACCAGTTTTTAGTTCCGCAAATTCGGATTCTGTGTCTGATGAAGAATGAGAGTTTGAACATCAACATGTATGTGGTTTTATTTGACAATATGTAAAAGATAATTTTTATAATCCTATTGCTAATGAGACACATACAAAAACTTTTTTGGAGAAGATAGAGTCCTTATATGCATCTAAATCAGGGAATAATAAATTGTTCTTGTTGAATAACTTCATAAGTTTGAAGTATAAGGATGATACTTCTATTTCAGATCACTTGAGTGAATTTCAATGGCTTCTTGATCAGATGTTAGGAATTGGTATTAAGTTTAATGATGAACTTTTGGGACTATTTCTATTGTTATCATTACCAGAGTCTTGGAAGACATTTCGGGTTTCTATCACAAGTTTTGCTCCTAGAGGTATTGTTTCTTTAGAAACGACTAAGGGTGATATTCTTAATGAGGATATGAGAAGGAAGGAACAAGTTTCTTCATCTCAATCCAAGGTACTTTTCATTAAAAATATGGGAGAATTCAGAAAAAAGGAACGGAATGGTGGTAGAGAGAATAGTAGAAGCAAGTCCAAGCCACAATATAAGAATTTGGATTGTCATTATTATAACATAATAGGACATGTACATAAATATTACTATTAGTGAAAAAGGGATAATAGAGGAAATAAATGTAAGCCTAAACAAAGAGATCATTATGATCATGATGATGATCATGTTACTATTGCTACTTGTAATGATCTTGTTATTTTACGTGATCTTGAGTATGTTAATCTCGTATCTGATGAGAGCATGTGGATAGTTGACATTGTTGTTACATTGCATGTTACACCAAGGAAGGATTTCTTCACATCGTATACTTCTGGTGACTTTATTATGTTAAAGATGGGTAATGATAGTGTATCTAAGGTAATTGGTGTTGGTGATGTTTGCTTGCAAACCAACATGGGAGTGTAATTGTTGCGTAGTGGTGTCAAACATGCTCCGATGTCTACTTTAATTTGTTCTCTGTGCATATGCTTGACGTTTGTGGTTATGAAAATCACTTTGGTTCTGAAAAGTGGAAACTCAAAAATGGTAACTTGGTTGTGGCTAGAGGGGAGAAGCTTTCTAAATTGTATTGGTAAAAATATTTGGTTCTTAGGGACAGTGTGAATGCTTTCGACATGGAAGCATCTTTATGGTACCGAAGACTTAGTAATATTAGTGAAAAGGGACTGAATGGTTTGACCAAAAATAATGTTCTTCAAGGGTTAAAGAATGAAAATTTGGAGAAGTTTTCTAATTGCATGGCTGGTAAACAAACTATAGTATCTTTCAAAAGACACCCTCCCTCAAGAAAGTCAAAGTTACTTCAATTGGTATATTCTGATGTTTGTGGTACATTAAAGGTAAAATCTTTTAGTGGTGCACTTTATTTTGTAACCTTTATTGATGATTGTTCCAGGAAACTATGGATTTGCCTTGAAGACAAAAGACTAGGTGTTGGATAAGTTCAAAAAATCCCATGCTATGGTAGGGAGGAAATAGAAAAGAAGTTAAATTATGTTCATTCTGATAATGTTAGTGAGTATTGTGGACCATTTGATGCCTATTGCAAGCATCACGATATTACACATGAAAATACTCCTCCTAAAACTCCACAATTGATTGGTTTAGCATAAAGGATGAATCAAACACTAATTAAGAGGGTGGGGTGTATCCTCTCTAAAGCTAAGTTACCAAATAATTATTAGGGTGAGGCACTTTACATGATGGTGCATGTTCTTAATCTCACTCATGCTATTTCTTTGAATAGTGAAGTTCCAGACAAGATTGGGTTTAGAAATAATGTCAAGTATGATCATTTGAGAGTCTTTCATTGTAAGGCTTTTGTGCATATTCCAAAGGATGAAAGATCCAAGTTGGATGCAAAGTCAAAACAATGTATATTCATCGACTATGGGCAAAATGAGTTTGGTTACAGGTTGTATGATCATGTAGGGAAGAAACTTATCTGAAGTTGTGATGTAGTATTCA